TATATAATATATATAATTATATATATATATATATATATATATGTAATATGAAAGCCTATGCGAAAATAATAATTAATATTATTTCTGTATAAAGATTTAAAAGAATGAAAATCTTTAGCACAAAACTAGGTGACGATCCAATGTAAATAGAGCATATTTTCAATGCGTCTGGAAAAGTATGTTTTGTAATATAAGGATTGCAAAGAAAAATAAAACTATTCGACAATTCCGTCTTTCTATTTATAAATAAGAAAAGGAAGATATGTTTTTTAAATCTATATATTTTTGTTGAAAAATATATAATTTCGATTAATTCTAAATAACATTACAATAATCAGAGATTTATGTTAAATTGCACTTTTTTGTATTCTAATTCAAATTTCATCATTTTTTTTTATGTCTGAAGTGTCACTAGACATAAAATATCTTTTTTTAAGGTTTAAACCCCTGTATTCTGTAACGTTAGTTCGGATCTACAAAAGGTGTTTTAGGGAGCGGTTCACTTGCACACTCTAATCTTCTTCTTCTTTTGTGTGTGGCACTCGCAGGTCTATCGCCTACGATACGGCCAGTATCCAATGTGACAGTGAGATAAAAGGTGGGGAAAGGCTTCTCCCTATGAAACGAACGATCCACGCACTCCTTCACATGGAAAGTCACCAGAGCGGGAAGGACGAATCATATTGGAATATTTATGGAGCGGAGAAATGCTATCAAGAGACGACATAGCTTTGAGATAGGGTTTGAGAGACGTGGAAAAAGATTGTTGTGAGAATTAGGAAATTTAGTTTGAAAGTAATTAATAAGGTTATAAGCTTTAGAACTTACGAGTTGACAATGAAAAATGATATGATTTATATCCTGTCGAGGGTTTCCACAGGCACAGGCCGGGAAGTCGCCCAAATTTTTTCTGTGTAAACTATAATTGAGATTGTAATGGTTTGCCCTCAATCGGTTGATTGTGACGATTGTCTCTCTGTTCAAGAATTTACCTTGATATCACGGTTTAATTTTGGAGTATGAATAGTACTCAGTATAATGTTGTCCCTTGACTAACACTTGTTCCGTTAGGTGGGCATGGAAGCGCCATTGATTATTGGTTTTGGATTCAATCTGGAAGTCTGAGTACGGTATTCGATAGTCAGGGCGATTATTGGAAGAGCGTCCTTCTTTAGCTAGTTGATCGGCTATCTCATTGCCAGTGATGCTTGATGCCCTTGTGAGCGGGCACCCAGAAGAGAACTATGGTAACATCTGTTTGTTTAGAGTTCGTTCTTAATTAGGCTGATCAGGTAATTGTCTCGGTTAGATTTAGGGTGTTTAATATAGTCTCCAGGACACTTCTTGAGTCGGTAAATATAATGACATTGCAATATCCACTTTTTTGGGCAATGAGTAAAGCTTGTAGTATGGCCCAGGCCTCCGCCGAGAAGACGAAAGTTCCGGTGGCATTTTGAAATTTAAATTAATTCCTAAATCCGGGGAATAAATGCCCGCGCCAGCTGCAGACGATTCATCCAACTTAGAACTATTTGTGTAGCAGATAGAGTGGGTAGTGAGAAATCCTTGCCTTGAGAAGGCCTTGAGAAGGAATTCAGATTGGATGATCGTTGGAGAGCTGGATTTGTCTAAGAAGGACATATCATCGATAAAGGATTGAGAGAAGATAGATACCTTATATCGAACGAAAAGAAGGGAGGGATTATTGAACGGTAGACAGAGTGAAGGGTATGCTTATGGGTAATAAACTCCTTCAGGCATGGAACGTTCCTCAGTGCCTTCTCCTGGAGAGAGCGATTCCAGGCAGCGCTCTCCACAAGGTTAAAACTATTTAGTGTTGAATTATCCGCGATGGCAAAGTTTTTGTAGAAGTATTTAGATGTATTAGAAACATATATTCAAGAGAGTTTTCTTAGCCTCAGCCAACATCACGTTGATAGGCGTGGAGATCCTGTAACCTCCAGTTATGCGGATAGCCTTAAATTACAGTCTTTGAAGCTTTAAGAACATTCCCTGATTACTTGTAAGTTGCAGAATTTGACATCCGATGGAGCTCCGAAGGATTGCGCGATATAATATGAGAAATTGATGCGGATACGAACCCCACCAAATTCCAGCTAGGGATGCGATGATGTTTACGATCTCGGTTCCTTTCTGCATTAGATATGAGATATGTTCTTTGCCTTTCAGCTTACTAGAGGATAATACCCAGAAATCTAATTGAGTCTACCTGTTGTAATTCTTGGCGATTAATATGGAGCGGTCTAGGGAGGTTTATTGTTCCACCTCTGTTAAATACTATAAATTTAGGCTTATCCGAGGATAGTTCCAGCCCACGGTATCGCAAGAAGGGAAACATTTTATTCAAAGTAGCTTGGACGGTGAGTCGAGCTTTATTCCCATCTTTATCTGTAACACAGTATATACAGTAGCGCAACTCTCTGTCGGCACCTTTGATGTTAGTGTTGGCCAAAATGGAGTACGCATGCGTGAAATAAATAAGTTGCCCCGTCTCTTTTCCTTCCTTTTTTTATTATTCTCTTTCTTTCTCTCTCTATTTAAATAAGCGTTTCAATATTCCACTTAAACATTTGTCTTTCAAGCATAGAGTTTAGAATAGATTACCGATGAACCTTCTTATATAGATTGGGATTCCCGTATTATTTAATTCTTCTATTAAACATTTAACAGATTGAAGGACTCTTCCTACACAAAATAAATAACAATGGCAAAATAAAAAATAATGGCTGCGATTGGCTAGGAGATTATCCTTCAGATCTCGTTTCTTAAAAGATTTGATGAATCTCCAAATTTGAGAGGTAAAGGTATTTCTGTCAAGGCTGGTATAGAACTTCTTCCAGCTTCTTTTTATGAACTTTAAGGTCTTGGTACATTGGGCTGCAACTTTCTTGTAGTTAGTATAGGAACACAAGCTTGGAGCATTGTTGAAAGTAGCCATTGTTTTCCGCCTTTGTTCAATTACTGAGCTAGCTTCCTCATTCCACCAAGGAGAGGGGGGGGGGGAGTCTCCATGCTTTAGTCAGGGTAGACCTAGGGAGGCGTGCCTCTGGAGAGAGGAATAAATATATGCTTTAACGTTTTCAAACCAGTGGTCATAGAGGGCGGCTCCCGAGCCAAATGTTGGTATTGCTTCCAAATCTACGGATTGAAGTTGAGTCATGAGTGTAGCTTCTTGCGCTTTATTCAGCTTTATTTTATAGAGGAATCGACTTTCCGGAACAAGGACATGACCGACTCGTATCATTAAAGGAAAGTAATCACTGCCCAAGGATCTGTTTGAGTGAATCCACTGCAGGAAAGAGCAAGATTCGGCGACATCATGAGATCGATGACCGATGGTGTGGAATCAGGAAGACTGAACAGCGTAGGCTGGCGATCGCCAATATAAACTAGATTGTGGTATAGCTTTCTAGAGTGCGTTGCCGGTGGAATCCGTGTTGCTGCATCCCCAATAGATGGGCGTTGAAATCGCCCATATATACGTTGATAATAGTGCATTTTTATCAATTTCTGTAACGGTGCCTATTAGTTCCATGGATTTGTGTTGGTAGTTCTGTAAATCAAGAGTCGTAAAACGAATATGATCTTTAATTATACAAACACCTCTGTCGCCAGGATTTAAGATATCTTTTCTGACAATGTGGTGGCGCTTCAGATAAAATGGTTTATCCTGTGAGCAGAGTTTCTTGCAGACACAAGATTTTAAAATCTGGGCAAGCCATCTGTATTTGCGGGGATTTTCTCTGCATGCCACGGCAATTCCATGACATGATGAGAGAAGAGATTATGAATCTTTTTAAATTTGTTTGTACAGCGTTTATAATTAGTTGCGAAATGTCTGAGAGTTTGAATGATCGTGAGTTTGGGAAGCGTTGGGAGGAGTAAAAGGGTGTTCTGGACTAGAATTATTAGTTTGAAAGAGGTTTTTTAATGATGGACCAAACCGATTGAGGATGTTAATGCAGGAGTTAAAGAGGAAAAAGAAATCTCCTCTGGAGAATGCACTGAAGATATCCTGCAAACAGGCTGAGAGCTTCCATGTCAGAAGAGTGAAGGAGAATGGGAAGGATAGAAGGGGGAGGTAAGTGGAAAGCGAGGGGAGAG